GGGGCTTAATCATAGCGCTCTGGCAAGGAATCCTTTTGCTATCGAGTGCGATTCAACAGAGTGATAATTCAGAGCTTGTGAGCATAAATTGGAATATAATAGCGTAATAATGGGCGCGAGGTGTATAACTTACGGCGGGAAGAGCGAAGAAGGAGATGCCGAGGAGTGCGCAGAAGGAGGCGATAATTTTGCCCTGCCAGGTTTTTGGCACGGCATCGCCGTAGCCCACCGTGCAGAGTGTGATCTGGAACATACACGTACACGTGCCGTTGGATACATGAGTAACCGAGTGTATAAATATATACACGTGGAAATTTTTCAGTGCCCGATTGACACGCGAATATTCAATTGCAAGTTATAAACTTTGGCCGTAACGCAATTGACCTTATTGTAGCTTTTACCCCTTTTTTTTTCGGTCATGATAGACTCTCCTTTTCAATCCTTGGTGTGTGAGTGAAGGTGTGCCTGCTGTTGTATATAAAAAAAAGTGGCTCCCATGTCTATGAATTATTTAGCTTTTTTTTTCGGGCGCATAATTTTTTAATTTGCATTCGATTTGTGTGCAAATTCCGGACATGGTTCGTGCCTTTTTTTGGACCATCGGTTATAAATACGATATGACCGATTCTAAATTTAAACTTATTCAATATTTATGCACTTTCTGACCAATATTATAGCAAAATTTAATAATATTTATTTATTTTGGAAAAATCAACGGGCTGCAAGCCCTGAAGTGTGCAGTAACTCTGGCACAATAAATTCTATTATTAGCATGTTTAATAATTTTAATTTTGTTCATTATATTTTAAATTAAAAAAAAAGAAGTGTTGAATTATTTTGTATTTGATGTGTTTTTAAATTTATAGATGGAGTAGGACTGATAATAATATAATGTTTAAATGACTCTGAATTTTTCTCCCGAGATTTAGAAATGTTAAGCCCTTCAACGCGACTGCACCGTATTTAGAAAAAAAATCATATGTTTAATACACCAGAGTTTTTGTTTGAATCTCACAAAGCACAATGTACGATGACGATTAGAAAAAAAAAATCCTCCAATCAAAAGCAGCAGGTGTACGCGCTTAACGTAACAATACAATTCCAGCCTTCTCTGCCGGTCATTGCGTTACTGCCAAGTCGTAATATCTTCCCTCCCCCGTCCAACGATCCAGCTCGGATCCAGCATTTCTCGGAGCAACGATGCGTGGGCTTAGGTATACATACAAAGGCTTACCACTCCCCACCAGAGGGCTTTGGCGAAGTTATTGAAGTGCTCGTCGTCCTTCTCGGCGAGGTAGACCAGGAAGCTGGCGAATATCAGTCCGAGGAAGCCGATGTAGAGTGTCGTTATTAGCTCCTGGAACAGTCGTTACGTGCACACGTGTGCGCTTCGTTAAAAACTTCAGCTCTGTTTGACTCGATGGTTATTCTCTACGAAAACTTGCTCCGAACTCTGTGGGGGAGCCCTTTTTTTTTTTTTAATAAAAGCTCCGATTTCTCGAGGTATATTAGAGCAGAGGGTACGTTTTGGGCCGTACAAAATGGCCTTTGCCCTCTCCAAAGTAAATTGCTCGTGAAAACAGTATTTATAAAATCACTTGGGCTATTATCAGTCATCGGCTTACATGTTCTATCAAATGTGAGACTGCACTACCGATTATCAAGGCAATCAGCTCACACCGACAATTTTCATTTAAATTAACTTGTCGAAGAGAAGCACGCCTCTATGCGGAATAGAAAAGCCTAGCCTGTAAAGCTTATCACCCACGGAAATGAATATCAATGAAAACCTTCGTACCCGGTTGGCTTTTGAATGTCAGGAGGAATATATTCGTAGAGAGAGGAGCTCCTGTAAGGGTAGTAAAAAAAAAAAAAAAAAAAGTAGGAGGTACTTAAGCTCGCGCTAACGTTACGCCGTCACGAAGGGCTTCATGAAAAAAAAAAAAAAAACTAATTAATTCAAGTTTCAAGTTTTATCATAATCCCAATGGCACCCGAAAATGATTCGGTTGCGCATGCAATTTCGGAAAACGGGCATTTCAAATTGATACAATGAGTTCGAAGGCTCTCGTTCGCGTGGCAAGGGCTAAAAACAAAACCTCAAACATCACATAATCGTCATTGTCACACGGCGACTGTAATATTATACATATACGAAATGACTCCGATATTACCGGCGATTTTGTTTCTTGCATCTCGAGTGGGGATGAATTTCCAAAAATCTACATGGTACCCATAAAGCTCCACCAACACCCCGATAAACCGCGAAACTCGCTCGGCTTTGAAGCACACCAGGTCCTTTGTCACATCTCGACCGCAGACCCGTACAGGTAACTCGACTCGCCCTTTTCGTAGACCTTGGACAGTCGAAATAGGTCGGCGCCCGGCCTCCCTCCCACACCCCCGCCAATAACAACAGGGAGGGTCATTCGAGGGGGCAGTCCGGAACGTAGGTATCATAATATACGCTTGCTCTTTTCGATGCACGGCCCTGCTGGCGTCTGTCAAGCCAAGACCCTTTCTCTCTCTCTCTCTCTCTCTCCCTCTTTGTGTATGCACACACACACACACGCACACGTGTCAGCTGCCACAGAGGGGAAACGCAATTTCCGCAGTATCGGAATCTCGTTCCGCGAGGAGGAGAAGGGGAATTAAGGGCGATTGATCCATTGTCGGCTGATGGGGTTTGTATATATATCTCCTCGTAGTATTATCGGGCCAACTCTCTCCCTTTCTCTCTTTATCGTCGGGTTACAAACTCGTATACACGTACATGTATATATACATACAAAGTGGCCCTCCACTCGTTCTCAGACGTCTTACGTCTTGTGTGTGCGATCGCGTATATATATACATATATACCGAGGACACCTAATAGACTCGCAATTCATGGTGGCAGCGTGTGTGTGTGTGTGTGTGTGTCAGGGACGCGTGTACGCTTTTGCGTGGTATTGGGTCGGGTGGCTTGCGCTCGGCGGCAAATGAGTCATTGTAATGCGTTCTCTCGAGAATAGAAGGGGATGGTTATGTAGGTCGTGGTGTAGGAGAGTCTTTTTTGTTCCCCAGTACCATTCGGGGATCAGGAATCGTCGGGAGGGTCGTCGCTGGAGCGAGAGCCGATACTTACTAACATATATTATATACCGAGGGGGTGGAACGCGGTGGAGATAGCGCGGAGACGCCTCAAGAGCACGCGAGGAAGGTTGCGCCGTACTTCAAGTTACCAACTTTGAGGGAGAACCATACGTGGCTTTTTGAGAAGGATATGCCACGGAGTTCTCGCTACAAGCTGGATTTCGCTCGTATCCCCCCCTTTGGTAATGCATCAACGGTGGGGTGCGAGTGTGGATGGCGTTTATTCCCTTTTGTTTCTATTTTTTTTTGTTTTTTTTTGGAACCATAGTTGGGCTTTTTCGATGGTTTTTTCTTGTTTGCCTGTTAAAACTAACCGGTTTGTGCCAATGAACCTTGAAACAATTTGCAATGTAATCCGTTCGCACTGTCGTTTCGGTATAACTCAACCTTTACTCTAGTCAACATTACTTGTACTAAATGAATTTCAAATCGTTACTTCACATTCCCGATATGAAGGGACTTTTTTTTTTTGAGACAATCATAACAAAAAAGTGTAATGTCATTCTCGTGACTGAAATGATGATGTGTCGACTGATAAATACATCGACGTCGGTGTTTCGTCCACCTTCAAGAAATCTTTAAATAAACAATACCCAATGACTTTACTTTTTAGCCGTAAAAAATTTGAGATACTAATTTCGAGTTGAAAAAAAAGAAACTAAATCTAAAGTGTTTTCGTGATTTATTCTTGTGAAATAAAATTACGTGGCAACACTTTGTCCGAGCATTCACTGTAGATGGGTAATGGTATTTTTTATGAAAAATAATCCAATTTTTTCTGTTTTTCATTCCACGACACAAGGGTCATTGACAGAAAAGCACTTGAAGATACTCAATCCTTACGATGACGAATATAAAAATATGTAAAGATTCGCAAGTACACATAATACTGATCGTGGGAACTGCCGATCATTGTGAGTATTGAGGCCCTTGTTATTTTTACCATTATGAGACTATATAAATAAGAAAAGAAGAACAAGCTCTTGAGGAATCGATTTGTTATTTTTCCCCTTGCAAATTGCTTTTATATAACGAGAGGCTTGCTGTTACATGTACACACTCCCACCGATTTCAAAACACGTTGTATGAGAGAGAGAAGGGGTTTAATTTATGGAAGGCCAACCAAAGAGCTGGCCCTTACCATGTAGATCTGTAATTATTGCTGAGAAATTTAATATTGGTACATGAATTTTAAATCACACTATCGTGCATGTACGGCATTATCTAAAATAGGCTCTTGCGACCTTGGCAAACTGACGTATATTTTCGGTAATGAGCTGATTTTCGAAATACCTTGAAATTGATTTATCGAGGATAAAGGGATTAATAAATTTCATAAATTATTGGGCTTACCGCGATATGATGTGTAAGCCATGTAAAAACATTGCATAGTATATTTTATCGAACATGCTTATTATGTCAATTAATCTTGTGAAATATTTTACAAAATTATATGATAGTTATTGACATTTTGGGCTGACCTAAAATCTTATGACCGATTTTCGCGTCAATTCAATGTTGTAACAAAAAAGATATACAAAATATGGCGTTGAACAGCTTACGCTTTTTGCGATAAAATCGTGTAATGTGTTAAAATATTTCACCTTAATCGGAAAGACCATCCAAATCAGCTTATGATAATGAAAAATATATTTTAATTTAATATCATTGATAAATAACTTAAGTTACACTTTTGGTATTGAAACGTTCCGCGGCAGATATTGCGTGACGAATCTAGTTATAATTTTTTACTCATTAAACATGCAAATATTCGTACAAAAAATGCAAAAGAACTTTTATCGGATGGTATGAGATAAAAAAAAAAAAAAAAAAAGAAAAAATGGAGAAACAGTAACAAGACAAACCTGGGTGGACTCGGCAAGGGTACTTGGTGGATTTTCCAAGTTGCTATGCTCATACTGTGCTCGTCCGCCGCGTAACACCTCCAGAGCGCCTGAATCAGCGTAGCTGCCGGCTGTCTTCTCCGGATCATGTGCTTCTGTCGCTGCTGCTGTTGTACTTTCAGGGCGAATCCCGAGCCCAAAATTCCCTAAGATCATTTACGTTATTTACGCCCATGCGCATCGTCCTCATTTTTTATTTATTCATTCTTTTTTTGTGATTTTTTGCCATCTTTATCACAAATTATCGTGTCCTCTAATACACATCGTAGAGAGTAGAGAACATTAATTTATTGGCAGCCTTTGTATTCATAAGCAATTATTATTAATCTATAGCTAACGTGTAACCAAATTAACAGTAAAGATTTTACTTTTTCAATAATAGCTTATTTTTCGAAAAATCATTGTAAAAAGAAAAAAATTGATTATTAATCGTAGCTATTAAAGATACAGTGCATACATCGCGTTGGTATTTATGGTTTAAACTGCTGTGAAATAAAACGAATGAAAAAGATACAGAATGAGGCATAAGGTCTTAATTTACGGGGGTACTGCGCGAGAGTAGAGGTGAAAGAGAAAAAAAAAAAAAAAAAATAGTCAGTGGGGCTTAATCATAGCGCTCTGGCAAGGAATCCTTTTGCTATCGAGTGCGATTCAACAGAGTGATAATTCAGAGCTTGTGAGCATAAATTGGAATATAATAGCGTAATAATGGGCGCGAGGTGTATAACTTACGGCGGGAAGAGCGAAGAAGGAGATGCCGAGGAGTGCGCAGAAGGAGGCGATAATTTTGCCCTGCCAGGTTTTTGGCACGGCATCGCCGTAGCCCACCGTGCAGAGTGTGATCTGGAACATACACGTACACGTGCCGTTGGATACATGAGTAACCGAGTGTATAAATATATACACGTGGAAATTTTTCAGTGCCCGATTGACACGCGAATATTCAATTGCAAGTTATAAACTTTGGCCGTAACGCAATTGACCTTATTGTAGCTTTTACCCCTTTTTTTTTCGGTCATGATAGACTCTCCTTTTCAATCCTTGGTGTGTGAGTGAAGGTGTGCCTGCTGTTGTATATAAAAAAAAGTGGCTCCCATGTCTATGAATTATTTAGCTTTTTTTTTCGGGCGCATAATTTTTTAATTTGCATTCGATTTGTGTGCAAATTCCGGACATGGTTCGTGCCTTTTTTTGGACCATCGGTTATAAATACGATATGACCGATTCTAAATTTAAACTTATTCAATATTTATGCACTTTCTGACCAATATTATAGCAAAATTTAATAATATTTATTTATTTTGGAAAAATCAACGGGCTGCAAGCCCTGAAGTGTGCAGTAACTCTGGCACAATNTTACACTTTTGGTATTGAAACGTTCCGCGGCAGATATTGCGTGACGAATCTAGTTATAATTTTTTACTCATTAAACATGCAAATATTCGTACAAAAAATGCAAAAGAACTTTTATCGGATGGTATGAGATAAATAAAAAAAAAAAAAAAAAAAAAAAATTAGTCCACAAAACAAAAATCAACACGTACACCCTCGTTCTATCCTATTGCGTGTCTTTGTTTTCCTTCATTTCAGTCTTATTATCTCCTGCTGTGTCATCATCCCTTTGCCGAAAAGCTATTCTCATCACTTTTTCATTACTTTCCTCCCTGTGCAAGACGTTTCTCTTCAAACAATTCATTATCCAGTCAATGCCCTTACACCCAAAAAATTCAAGCTCAACATTTCACGCTCGTCAAGCTTTTTTCCTCAGTCACTTCCTACACGTGTCGTATTATTATTTCCCTCGAATCAGCGCGCAAATGTTTTTGAACCTTTAAACCAAATATTTTATTTCTGCTTCGTTCAGAGCTGAACACTTATTAAATTTATAAAAAATAAAAAAATCAAATCGACGAAATTTTGTAACTTTCCATCCCTACCCCTTCACAAAATTCCCGTTACTTTCGTTGGAAAAAAAACTAACTTTTTCCACCCTTAACTCCAACTTGCAAGCACTTATAAATTGGCCAGCTACCGCAAAAATTATCAACCCTCGGGTAAGATTCTGGAAGCACAAACAAGTACAATTGGCCAATCTCTTTTGAATCAAAGCACACGACGCCTCACCGGTACGAAGCTCTCGCGGGTCGATCGTGTGCTCGCACACATAAAAATATTGCGGCGGAATTTCACTCGTAAGGCCGAATTTCATCAACACCAAAGGGATCCTTCAGATGTGCCGAAAAGGGAGTAAAAAAGACACTCTTTTGTGCTCTTTCGTGGAAGTATCGCTCTAATGAATAAAGATCCATTTATGAATCCGAAGTTGCGATGGAGACGATGCAGCGGCGGAGCGACACGTGTACGTGTGTAAGGTAGACCCGAGGCGTCGTGCTCCAAATAACTCGACGAAGCTGCACCTTTGAGGCTTTCGATTGTAGCAGCGCGTGGTGACGAAGCTTTGAGCTTTCTCGACTCTCGGAAATGGAACAGTTGCCATTAAATTTGCATCCTTTCGCCTATACGTTGCTTTTCACGCTCGTTAATTTAAATTGTTAATATTGTCAGCATCAAGTTTTATGGCTATCGAATGTAGTAGCCATTTTATAATTTTTTTAAATACTAGTAGTATAAATTAACTGACAAGCATCAGCTGTCGATTTCTGGTTTTGGTAAAAGTGTTACTTTTGTACGAAACTACAGCCAATATGGATAATTTTTCAGCAAGAACTTGCCTAATCTTATCAGTGTAATCAAGATTCAAAATAAATTTATTCACGCGTATAATATAATTTTCATAAGATAAATGAAAGTAGAGGTAAGCTCTAGTGATGAAAGATAATATAGCCATCGTTTGCTGTAAATGATTTTATAATTAACTGTGGGGATGAGATAACTTATCAATCCAAATAGTTTCAAAACTTCTTCAATACCAGTATTAAATGATAATTGCGTCATCTGGCAAATTTTCGTAAAAAAATGATAATTAAAAAAAAACAAAAAACGGTATTTATCGTTAAAAACAATGGTAAGACGCTTACTTGTCGATGAGCGTAAACGACACTGCCCAGGAGCTTCCATGTGCCGCCTCGTCGGTCCATCCGCACCATCCGTAGTATTTGGAAGAAGCGGAGGCCTCGCAACGCGCTCGCCGCGAACACCTGGCCGCTGCTCCGCATCGCGAGCACGACGATGCTCGCGATTATCGTTATCACATCTGTTGGGGCAGACGAATTTTTGTTTGTCATTCCTTTTTTTTTTATGTACCCAGCATGCTGCCAAAGTATCACTGTAATGGTGAGTGGAAAATTTAATTGAAACCATCCGAAAGCCAAGGAAATCCCTTTTTTTTTGAAATTGTAGGGGTTTATTGCTAACATGATCGGCTCTCAATACTGGACCATCAATTTATACAGTTTAACTTCATTTCCTTTGTTTTATTCAATATAGGTATGACTAAACAACTTTACTTATTGTAAACAGCACAAGTACGTTATGCACTTCGAATGCTGTTATAAACTCAAACTAAAAATATAAATATAAAAGAGCAAGAGAACAGCTGTCTTTCTAAAGGGATTTAAGTTTATGCGAGTGATTTTGAATGATGAACTTTTACGGATCTTTGTTTTATACTTTAGTGCATAAGTAATCCCATAAAACTGACACTTTTTTTATTCATTCTCAAAGTTTTGTAAGAGATTATTACATAAGACACACAATATGCCTGTCTGAATAATGAAAGAAGTTCTATGATCAATTAAGTACCTCCACAAAACTTTTTGAAAATAAATGTTGGTACGAAAGTAAACGTGGGTTATTAGTAGTACATTATTCATCCGTCATAGTAAATCTTTACGCTACATACTTTATAAACTTACACTTGTCACGAAAAATTTCTACGAGAAAACCATTAGTTGTTGTTTATAAATCCATGCTTTTTAAAGACCAAAATGGTGATTACGAAGGTCTGCTTTGATAAAAAAAAAAAAAAAAAATAAAAACCTGTTATGGAACCTGAAAACGTTTTTTTCCCCGTAAAATTCTTCAAGTATATGTACGGGTACACGATGCACGTCTACGTAAGACATACACTCGTGTATTTATGCGCATAGTCATACATATGTATGAAATGAGCGCACAGTACAAGATCAACTTCTCGAGCATTTGAATCAATGTTTTAAGCAAGAGGCGAGTCTCTGTAGTCGTTGTTGGCAATCATTAATAATCATTTCTCCAAAAGTTTACGAAAAATGTTGGGTTTTTACGATAGTTTAACAATATTGGTAAATTGTTGAAAAAAAAAAAAAAAAAAAAAAAAAAAAAAAATGATCAACAAGATCCCGAAAAATATCCGTTGGCTGAAAAATAGTTGAAAAGTAATTAATATTCTGATGGAATTCGTATCGGTGAGAAACTCCTTACTGGCCAGAGCTGCATGACACCGATCAAAAAGAAAAGCAAAGTAAGTAAATTGACGTCGTCGCGTGTCGCGTGAACTTTGATGTTAACGCCACCGCGGCAGTAACGAGCATTAATTAACTCGTTACATGCGGACGTGCAAATTTTCGTTGGTCTTGTCGTATGTGTGTCCCTCTATACCATCTCGAGAATAAAGGCAAGCGCGTCTCCCTTTCTATCTCGCTATATACATCAGAAGCAGGTACAGCCTTGAAGTGGCGAATATACGAGGAGGACAAGAACGACAGAGCCTTGCGCCTTGCTCTTTCTTCGTTACAAGGCCTCCTTGCCTACTTTGACTGCTGAGTATTGCTCGCACCTTTTGTTGAGCTCGAGATCTTCAGTATAGGTATACACATCCAGATAAAGAATCACCTGACCAATCAACTTACCCTTCATCACTAATCAAACAGACCAATGATAGATTTTATACATATAAGTATATGAAAAACCATTCGATACCCATCACCACCCGATCGATTCAACCCTTTGTGAACGACACGAGAAATCGTCATGATTTACTTTCTTTTGTTATTGCATAAGATGTATAAGCCAGTTGTGTTTTTTATGTGTTACTTTTCATTTGTTTGAGTAGATTACAGCCTATTCACATAAATAGATGACCAAAGTTCTATTCTCGGCAACAAACAGTGCACCCAGATGGGAATTCCCCGGTCCAGCCAACCGATTCGAAAATCGGATTTATTCATCAAAGTTGGCCGACTGCTTGCTGATCGCTAAACGGATTCGGCCAATCGGATGAGTGTGTTCTCCCTCCACTGGACGGACCGTCATCCGTGGGGATTCCGCGAGCCCGAATACTTCTGGCCATTAGAATATTATATGGAAGCGATGGCGCGTAACCAGTAACGCGCCGCTGCAGTAATCGTATTAAACTCTGGGTGTGTATATAATCTGGCTCGCTGGGAGCACCTGTTTGGCCAATTGTTTGTTGGACGGGCAGAATTAACGTCATTGTCATGGATTCGAAGGAACGACGTTGACTTTCAGGTGAGTTGTTTTTGGGTGTACTTAAATAATTTTATTCCAAAATGAGTGTCGAGCTCGGACCAAACAAAAAGGAGGAGAACAAAGGGACTCCTCGACAACAAAGTTCGTACCTAAAGAGCTGATTACGAGCCGGGGGCCAGAGAGAGGGTATGGATGACAAAGGGGCTGCCGAACTAAACGAGTCACGGGACTTTGCGGTGGAAGGAGAAAAGAAAAAAAAGATGGAGATAGGCGGTCGAGCTCTTGCAAACTCGAGTTGTGCCATTCTTTCGGGACTGATCCCAGTAATTCCCTTGTGGCTAATAGCAGAGCCCTCGAGTCTTCGTTCAAAGGTCCCATGGCGGAAAGTCGATCCGGTCATTGAACGCGCGGATTTTTCCCGTTTCTTCGCGTATACACGCAGACAAGAGCTCCCCCCGTTGAGCCATCAGCAGCTACTGCACCTACTTTTTACCAGCTGCACGGCCTATAGTGGAAGAGGAGGATGATGATGATGCCGGTGTGTGGCGTAAGAACTAGGTCACAACGTCGACGATCTTTTGATTCTACCTTTCTTGCTTGCGCTCGCATGTGCCTACGCTTGATTACTCGCACCGGTGGAAAAGCCAGTGTCCGGAAGGACTGTTTAATTAGCAACCATACTGTCTTTCTCTCTTCCCTCCCCCCACCTCATACTTTTAATCGTTAGCTCGGTTTTTTTTTTTTTTTTTTTTCCCCCGTCTCTTCAGGTGGGAGTGAAATGGTTTTTTTTTTTTTTTTTTTCGTCTTTTCGACAGAAACTGAAAGCACAAACCCGGTGCTTGATTAGTATAATCAGTTTAATCGGGCTTTAGCTCACAATGTTTGCTGCTACTTGAATGCAAAACATCTATTGTTTGCTGATTTTGAGATGAAACAAAATTTTTTTTTTTTTATCATAGAATATATTATCGGATGGCAAATAATATTGGGTGAGTAATAGTAGTATATGGAAATTTACCGATGATGCAGAACGGCCTCCGCAGAAACTTTAGCCGCCCGATGGCCGTTTGATACCTCGACCGACATCCTGACGACCATAACCTGGAAATGAAGGCAGAGATTGTCATTAAAAAAACAACTGTTGATTACGTGAACGGATAAAAAATGATGTTGCATCTGGTACCTAAAAAAGAATTCACCGGTGAACCAGACCACTACGACCATTTCCATGTAAAAAAGGAGGATCCCAGCCTCTCTTTCGTACTCGTCTATTGTACTGAACACTGAAAGAACCAGGCACGTAAAGACCATACAAAATCTGAAAATTAAAAGATAGATGCGAATGCAAATTAAGTGTACACAAATAAGAGACAAAAAAAAAAAAGAATAGTAATAATTTTTGATTGTATGGCAACGAAATTACCAATACTTAAAAAAATTTTTATCAAATATTATTTCACAAAAAAAATGTTTGATCAGTCGAACCATACAATTGTCGACTCTAAAAAGTAACGCGCTGTTCGATTGGATTTTTGCTTTTAAAATTATGAATCAACATGCCGAATCAGCAAAGTGAGTAAACGAACTGATGTAATTCAGAATTAGATTATCATGAATCGCAGATAAAACATTTTTACCCTTTAAAATTCAATATAAGTAGCGAATCAAATTTTCAATCAAGAACAGTTTGATTTCATTTCCCAAAGCAAGGTATCGCCATGCTTACCAAGACTATAATTTTTGTCGTTTTGGTGGCCAATTTGGCTTTGGCTGAACCGAGTAACAAAACCGATGTAGAGGTAAGGTTTACAATTTACTCTTGTAAATAATATTTTCATAATTTAAGCATAACCTTTTTTATTCTTGTCCATGATAATTGCAGACAAACGTTTTCCATTATTTGTCCGAGTGGGAAGTCATAAAACGAGACCTTAAAAATTTATTAGACGTTAAAAAAAACGATGAGGTAAATTTGAATAATAACGAAGTTTACGATTTGTCTTCTGAAGATGTGGAAAAGAATCTGGCAGATATAAAAAATAAAACTGACAGCTTGTCACTCAAAGCAGAAAAGACGTATATTGTTATAATGATGAGGAACGAAGATTTTTATGCAGAATTTAATCAATTTTGTCGTGACTTGTACAAATTGTGCTATGACTCGAAACCATCTGATGTTACAGTTTGTAAAAGACTCAGGAATGACTTAAAAACCATCAGGAAAAAAATCTCTGATAAACGGAAAAGAGAAGAAGTAAGTCAATCACGTTTAGCAGTAGAAAGAATTTCACTAATTTAATTTTTTTTTTTTTTTTTTTTTTTTTTCATTACTCTAGCACAAAAAACATGGATTAAAGAGAAAGTGGAAAAAGTTGACGGACAACTTTCGTAAGGTGTCTCAAATGATACGACAAGATTTTAAAAAACTCGAAGAAATGGGACATGAAGCAGTCCACGTGTTGAAGAAGCACTGGGCTGACGTTGAGACTAGAACCGAGCGTGTATTCAGTGAAGCCACAACCGCATACAAGGAAACGATGCACGACGGCAAACATTTGTACGAGCAGTTCGAAAAATATTACAAACAATTGGAGCAGATTTTTAAGGATGTCGAGGGATCTGCGAAAAAAACCTTCAACGACGTTGAAACGACGTTGAGTGAAATAAAGATAGAATTAGAAAAGAAACGGGTCTATTGGGCACTTATCGAAGGATCAGAAACTGCTGTGGAAGTAGCGGAAGTTGTCGTATAAACAATGTTGTACGTGATGTACATATGTATTTTACCAGAAATAAAACAATTATAAGTTAACGTTCAAAATCATATTATAATTATTAAAATTTTCTAATCAAGACAATACAGTGTAGCAAATAGTGATGGAAAATAATGATAGTAAAAAAAACTTTGCAAACCTCTAATCGAAAGTATACTGGTAAATGCCTGTGCAAAAATAAGAACATTTGGATCATTAAAATGGCTTGAATTCAAATTACAGTGTAAGTGAGCAGAGTTGGAAAAGTTGTTAAAAATTGGCAAGAAAGTTTTTAAGTATTGATCAGGTAATTGGTATTCAAGACCGTGACATTCTTAAATATTGATTTGTATACCTACAGAAGCACGAAATGGGCAAAAGCATTGTTGTGTATCAATTGTGAGCCACGTAGCATGAGAGACGATTGGCAGAAAATAATTGTACGAAACTTTTGTAATTTTAATCTTTGAAACATTTTTTAAAGACACGAACTTTTCGTACACGCACCAGAACACTTAATCACCATAAGTTGAAATAAGATTTTTTTAAATTAAAAAACATAAGGACGCAGGTGCGTTAATATTTGTGTAAATTACCAAGTGAATAATAATAATAATAGTAGTTTTATTGAAAGACACGTGTGTTTTGTCAAAGCAATCGTTGTACGAAAGACTCGGCGTTACACAGATGTTGAATATGACAAGTTTTGCGAGCCCGATGCTTCTAAGTACACATTGAAATATAAGGTATTCACATGTATACTTGCCGATAATACAATACACCAGCTACATTAAATCTCACGTTTAATCAGTGATAAATGGAGGTACTTTTTTCATATAATATAGCAGTCTCCTCTACCGCTACTATCCATCGACTCAAAATACTTTCCACCCCGAGGAAGTAAAATTCTTCGACAAAGCCTCACATAGTCGTATATTGTTTTTCGAGTAGTTGTACACTCGCGCCCAAGCATGTACTCATCAAAGTTGAAAAAAAAAAAAAAAAAAAAAAAAAAAAAAAAAAAAAAAAAAACAGGTAAAAAGAGCACAAGGAAATAAGAAAAGTACCCTAGTTCCACAGCCTAGGGGTAGGTCAGTCACGCAGCCCTTGCGACACAAAAGGGAGTTAATTAATACGCACCCGAGTCCCCTGGCGCGCACATGTGCGTAAACAACATAACAATAGACACATTCCACACAGAGATCATATATATTTTATACCGGCAAACATGTCGCGGTGCGTGTTTGTTGTTCCCCTATATATAAATATTATACTGGTTGTACACGCGCGAATAAAGCAGTAAAACATGTACTCACACAATCATGTGATACGTGATGGCGTAGACGCCACGGGGCCGCTCGAGGAAGTTGTAGACGCGGGCCTGGAGACGTCGGTAGCGGGCATCGCGACGAGTCGCCCGATAGTTCACCGGGCGTCCCAGCAGTGACATCCGCGGGGCTGCCAGACGTCCACCTGCGCCGCCGCTCCTGCAATTTCACATCAAATCCATACACTCTCATGTACGCGTCAATTTACGTCATTTTACATCCAACAAAGAAATTATACAACAACAACAGATGTTACTTGTTGTTAGTTATAGCACAGCCGCGCGTAATTATACATCATGTACAAAGCAGCGTGACTTTGGGAGTTCCGGGGCACGCAAGACAGCGCGTGCGAATTATGCATATCGACTACCAGCACGCCATCGATGCACAATAGCTTTGGTGTGCTGCATCACGTGCCCCCTTTTATTCTACTTATTTATTATCGAATTTATGGCGCTTATGAGAGGAGCCTTCATTAACATTTACGTCCCATCGCATCCGATCTCGAAAAAGCTCATGTCTCTCAAATTTCTTTATGGTGACTGTAATATACGTGTAGATGTATAGCCTAACAGGTTGCTAGGTACATAGCTTTTCATGTTCAATGGACAAGTCAAGGTCACAGTTACGTCGTATATGAACTCACGAGCGCTATAGGTGATTCATGTAAGAAATGTAGCGCTGAGTTTAAAGGACAATTACAGTAGCGAAGCTCATCGAAGCCTCATCATCAACAACCGTTAATTTGGTGATGGTCGATTGAATGCTGTTTAACTAATTTAGTTGAAAGAATACTTGATTTATCTACTGCAATTGGCGAAGATGATGGTTTGAGATTTATAAGTAAATTGGATTACTTGATACTTTTGTTAATTGCAGTTGGACAGTGGTATGATGAAATAAAAAAAAATGATGTATAACAAAATTAAACGTTCAATGTGTCATTTTTTGTTTTTTAATTACAAATAAATGATACATTGGCTGTGTTTATGCGTTACGTGCAATAAACTAGTTATTAATTTCCTTAGTTTTATTCATTTGTTTAAGGTCTTAGCTAATGTTATACGAGTAAGAATAACGTGACGTATAAGCAAATATTGTTTTCTTACTGGCTGCAACGGAGCTCGATAATAGAGCACACATGTGTACCAAATCCTACGATGTACTTTCTACACATTTATTTATAGAAATTAAATATCGCAGTATAATGCAGGGTTATTTTAATGTGTCGATAATAATTGTTAAACGATGAAAAATTAAAATAATTTTTTTTTTAAATTAAATAAATAAACAAACACCAAAATGTTCAATAAAATCGACCGCATTTCATCGTATCGCCATAGTATCACTCGACCCATTAAACCATTTACATCAACAATTAGCCTAATAACTTGTCCTTATCCACAAAATAATCGCCATAATGTACGTTTATCGGATACCGCGAAACTCCAAAACAATTAAGTCACCACAATTCCATTTGACGTATGTTGACGTGTAGCCATTTTCTCGTAATTTGATCATCACACTTGACAATTTCATTGATATCGATTGACGAGGTATAGTAGCAATTAAAGTGACGATATCTATACCACAGCCCTCAATTGAAGCGGCTAAGAAAAAACAATTGCAGTGGAATTGGCACTATTTGAAAAAAAAAAAAAAAAAAAACAAAAGCACGTGACCGAAACCAGCCTTATCACCGCGTGCGATAAGCTTGCATCAATTGACCGGGAGTCATTACGAGAAAGAGGCACAATCGAGGTCAATGAAAGGAAAAACAAAGAATGTTCAACCGAATGCCACGCAAGTCCTATATTCAACGAATGTACACACAGCGACCACCAAAGATATGATTATCCGTGACGAAACTTCCAGTATGGCATGTCGCTTTATATACGTATTAGTTTTCTTCGTGCACGCGAGATCTACGGAAAAAGAGAGCATCACCTTATGCACCTCCTCCCCTACATAATGTACGCGTGTCGACCTTACAATCTCACTCAAAATGGTAAAATTTTTATCTCTCCCTCTAGCTCAACTTGAACGCGAAAATCATCATTCCTATGAGAAAGTGGTAGTGAGAGCGCTATTGGGAGGGGCATAAGTATGTGTATACCGTCGTCAGCCGCAACACTGCACGGGGCGTTAATGGCACAGCCGTTGTATTTACGAGTGCCATTGTTTGCTGAGAAAACAAACGTTGGGCGCTTGATTATTTGTAGTTTAATTATCGCGAC